AAAGTTGGAAATCCCAAACCCAAAATCCCCTTTAACAACCTTAACCCAAACCATAAAAGTTGGAAATCCCAAACCCAAAATCCCCTTTAACAACCTTAACCCAAACCATAAAGTTGGAAATCCCAAACCCACAATCCCCTTTAACAACCTTAACCCAAACCATAAAGGTTGGAAATCCCAAACCCAAAATCCCCCTTTAACAACCTTAACCCAAACCATAAAGTTGGAAATCCCCAAACCCAAAATCAACCCTAAACCCTAAACCCTAAACCTCTTGGGCAAAGGACCGGGGCTCGGAAACATAGCTTTGAAGGTTGCCCACTGCTCCATGGACATGTTGAAGACCTCGCTTGGTCTTCATCACGGGCATCATAAAGGGACTAGGTTTAGGGTTTAGGGTTTAGGGTTTAGGCTTTAGGGGTTTAGGGAATCATAAAGGGACTATGATGGGGCTGCCGGCTGCTAACGCGAATTATCATTCGAGGCCCGTTTCAGGATTCAAGGCTCGCGGGACTTTGCCACGGGTCCTGGGATGCTCCCCTCTCGCTACGGTTTCTGTGATGCCTCAGGTCCCTTAGCCCATGACTGGACTGAGCATTTCCCCGCAACCCTCAACCTCATCCGACCGGGTTCCCGCACGTGGTCGAACACGAACCTCGACATGCCACAGCTGGGGCTCGGAGGCATGCTGTGTGTTGAGAAAGCTATGCATATGCAGATGTGTTCAGATGGATTAGATGGGACTGAGTATGACGAGCTTAGCTTAATTGTTTTGGCTAAGGCTAGGCTAGGTCAGGTGAGAGTAGGGTATGTACACTGTAACACACATGAGTCCGTGTGTATGTATACATGTGTACACGTCGCACAGTTATGAACATCAACTGCACACATGCATGCTTACTCACACAAGTACTTACAGATCTACATGCCCCAGACTTACATACATGCACGCATGTGCGCATGTTCGTGCATCTGAACATATGCATACCTGCACACACGGACGGTGCCTGCCTGCATGCATGCATGGAGTTCACGTGCACTGCTGTCGGTGTTCATGGCATTTACGTAGGCGGCCTGTGAATCTATTAAGCTTTTGCACACACACACACGCCCACAGCAAAACATGTCTGCACCATGCAAGTGTGCCGTGCACCACACACACATGAATACAAGCCAACAAACAGACACGCAAGCAGCAAACATGCATATGCAACTATTCATAAGTATTTGCTCTCACGCTGCCGTCTACGAGCATCTCGAGAAGCTAGGTCCTGACTGGGTTGAGAATGGTTTATAACAGATCCGGCAATATTCGATGGCCAGCTGCCTTTCCTGTGTGGTCGACTGTGCGTATGCCTTGCACCCTCCAAACCACATGCATTCCCGGCCATCAACTTTATCTGTATATTGTAGTGCCTTATAGTCTATGCGAGAGTCGGTTATAGTATGTTATAGTATATTATACTATGTTATAAGGCCATCGATTAAGGGTCTCCCACTCTCGACTCTCTTCCCGGCCGTTTAAAATAGCCCGGATTCAACAGCCAGTGATTCAACGAACTCCCCTATATATACACCTTCCGTACATACACATGCGAATGTGGTTGTGTATGTAAA